TAAGGTTGGTCAATATACATATACGCATATGTATGTATGTATGTATGGCCTATCGCACTGGGAAAATACATAGGTAAGCACCTTACGAGGTAAGTCATGTTTAGTTTCAGTTTGTCATCATTGCCAATGTCATCTACTAGTAAAGCACAAAATGAACACCTACGACGACACATGACGTTGTCAGTTGCAAAATAATGTGCAACCGAAGTTATTTCCAAGAGCCGAACTACTCCGAGCGACTGCTCTGCATTATGCGTAACTTACTTTGTAAAATGGCTCAGAGGTATGTTTGATACGTAATGTACCGACCAAATTCCTACTTACTTACAACTTTGTTAAAGTAAGGGAAATTCGGCAGGGAAGTGGTAAGTACCGCCGGGTGAAGGGCAATACCTTACCAGCAACTTATGCCTTACTTTAGCAAAGTAGTAAGTAAGTAGGAATTTGGACTGTACATTTCGTATCAGACATACCTCTGAGCCACGCCTTATGTAAGTCGGAATTTAGAATATAAATTTGGTATCAGACAAACTTCTGAGCCGCTTTACAAGGTAAGTTACGTGTAATGCAGAGCAGTCGCTCGGAGTAGTTCGGCGCTTGGAAATAATTTCGGCTGCATATTATTTTGCAACTGACAACGTAATGTTTCGTCGGAGGTGTTCATTTTGTGCTTTACTACTAGATGACATTGGCAATGATGACAATTTATGTACTAAAAACTGAAAGAAAACAGGGTGTTTTCGTAAGGTGTTTACCCATTTTCTCAGTGGGATGCTTTATAAAGCATACATATCCATCCACATACACATCCGCATACATTTTCCTTTAAGGTCATCGCCCTCCCGCCATTGGCCACTAATGTTTTTGTTTATGCAAAAAAAAAACATATTTTGTATGTGGGTCGTAAACAATTTTTTTTTTTTGCCAAACGGAAAAAACTTATGTTCCGGTATTGCTGCTATATTTTTCTTGTGACTAAATATTTTGAGAGACTCTTTTTATTTCCTTAACCAAAGAGTGGGAAATCCAAAAGTAAAAGCCAAAATTCCAACAATTCTCATAAAACGGCTTAATATTTGCTACATGATTCCTCCAACTATGAAAACTATTAAGAATTCGGGAAAACCGACAAACGGTTGAAGTGCCAAATAAGAAGAAGAAGAAGAAGAAGAAGTCAGGAGGATAGGAGTTACACTTTTTAATCTTTTAAAGTCCACTCCATAGGACTTAGGTTCGAGTTACATTTAAAACCATACAAGTTTTCTTTAAACCTCTCAAGTGTACTTCTGCATTGAAAATGCTTCTCATACATGGTTGCGTGATTTTGCATTAGTCAAATCACAAATGCAAAAATCAAATTGATATCTCAATTCAAAATCCTAAATAACATACATTTATTATGCATTTGTTTTTCAAAAAAAAAATATATATATCGTCGTTTAAAGTGCAAAACCGCGTATCAACAAAATGCAAATATGTATATATGTATACATATTATTTATTTGTGACTTGGTTCGTCGGACCAATAATCAAATAAAATTTATTTGTGATTTGATTCGTCACCCAAATAAAAAATAAATTTTATTTTTGATCTGATTTGTCGTGCAAATCAATTTGATTCGTGATTTTCCACCTAAAAAAAAAATACTTATTTATATGACGCAAGTACGATTTTCTATTTTTTTTACAATGCAAATCAAATCACGAATATAATTTCTTTTTTGTAATAATTTTTTGATGAAATGTGGAACGATTTTCCGTCATCCCGGTTTGTCTCCAAACCAAATTTGACAAGGGATGACGGAAAATCGCTCCACATTACATCACACTCCTACCCTGTCGGAAACACCAACAACGAAAATGAGAATAATTTTTTATTTGTCCGACGAATCAAATCACAAAAAAAAAAAAAAATTCACCCGAAAATGTTTCATCCGCCCATAGTAAATAAATGGAAACGAAAAATGAAAAGTAAACTGATTCTCGGAAAATGGAACTCATGATAAGGCTGATTATTATTTATGTATTTATTTTAAAGTCATGCAAGTGAAAGAGTTTCAAGGCTCTCGTGAGTCCGCTTTTTTTACAACAGAAAAATTCGAACGAAATAATGATGAACCCGTACAGTGCAATAGCAAAAGGTACTAATTATGCTCCGATGTTCCTGTAATTTACTATCTGTAGTATTATTGCTTAAGAATGAAGAAATCTGACAAATCGCATAGTTTGGCAAACGGCCTCGCCCACCACACAACTTTGGTAGCTTAGTTTTAACCAGAAATATTTAAATCTGAAAGATAATCAAAATTGGCCCACGCCCACCATTCATACAAAAAACAATAAAATGATATTATTATTTTTTTTTTTAAACCGGATAATATTTAGCATATCTGCATCCTAATGTAGCGATCGTAAAAGTTCACCAATCTACATCCTTTTGTATGCTTCTTCATTCCTGGACAAAAGTATTGAATATCAAATGCCAGTAAAATCGGATAACGGTCACTTTTTTGGCAGCTTATATGGGAATCTGTTATACATTCACGTTTAGAATCTTATAAAAAACCTTGGTTGCGCATTTAGAGTCTTGGACTTTCTGCTACTCTCAGACCATTGTGCGCCGTACAAATTTTGCGCTGACACGCCCACTTCGATAGTTTTGTTAATTTGACTTTCGATGCTTCAGAAATAAACCGCAGCTGTACGAATGTCACTGATGTTCTAAGGTCCTCTAGTACAGCTTCCAAAGAGGCAGTCGTTTTGAAAAAGCCCCGACCGGATCCACTTGCTGAATGGCAATCATGGTAACTTCGTCAGATGTTATTTCAACTAAATTTCGGGTGGTCTGTCATCTTTGCGTCAGCTATAAAATACTAAATCTTAAATTTTTTGCTCATTTTTGGGTATAGTTCGTGGGACTTCCGCCAAACTATTTCGAAAGAATATAAAAAGTTTGTCTTCCGGGAATTTGTTTCTCCCGAAAAAGAAGTCCCCCATTAATTAACTAGTAGCATTTTCCCCTAAAATTTGGGAGGAACTTCGAAAGAGCTGTTTGAAACTTTTTTGATAGCTCAACTCCGTCATTTAGAATAAAAAAAAATTCTCAGGGAATTTTTGTTCATGATAGGAGGAAAGGGAAAAGAGAAAAACTCCCAGTGAGTTCTGTTCAGAATCGTCCTGAAAGATTTACGTGAGCTGGACCGATTTGAAAAAAAAGTTCAAAATTTGTATTGTTTTGATTTCGTTTTAGACGATTTTTCAAAATTTTTTAACTTGTATCATCTGGGATGGTTCTTTGAAAACAATTTTTATTCATAAAAATCCGATTTTTTGAGATATTTTCAAATCAGTGCAGCGCAGTTAATTTTAATATTTGTCCGAAATACTTTATGGGAAGTCTTAAAAACTAATAAATGAACTGTACTGATTTTTTTTTTTGTATGAGGAGTGATGCACCCCAATCTACATACAAACATAAGTAAACAAGAATGTAGGTTGGAAAAAGTTGAAAAGCTTTTAATTCGCAACAACAGAACGGAACTAATTTCGTACAAACAAATAAATGTGTACCTACTGTATAAATATTTATAAGTACTAGTATGCATGTGCATATACATACATATGGGACATATAGTATGAACATAGTTCACGGAAAGTCGCACATTTTTATTTTGAAAACAGTTCACGGAAAGTCGTACATTTTTTAAAAACAGCAGATTCCTATATATGTACATCCACTGAAACCAATTCTATGTACATACATACATATATGTAGATGTACATATCCATACATATCGTCGTTCAAAGTACAATACAGCGTATCGTGGTTCTGCAAAACCTCGTAACTGACATTTGTACCAAAAATGAGATTTGCTCGCCGGGAGCTCCTCAAGCCATCAAGCCTTATCCATTTAAAGCCAAATATGTATCGATATTTAAATATAAATGGTTGAGATATTTAGAGATATAAAAGAGAGAACCCTGCTGAAATAAGACAGGTTTTACTCTCTCCTGTAAAATTTTGGCAACCTTACCTACAAGGTTTTGCATTCTCTTGATACGCGGTTTTGTACTTTAAACGACGATATGTATAAATTTGATGTGTGATCATGATTTAATACCCAGACTTGTACCATATCTGTTTATATATGATAGAATGAATCTGTGTGAGAAAAAAACCAAAATTTTTACGCCCACTCTTAACGAATTTATATTGTTGGTGATCTGCGCACTTGAACCGCACGGCGAATTTTTCAAGGTGCTACCTAAATACATACACATATTTTATTATACTTGCTTGCATGTTGACTTTAGTATTTCCGGGCACCTTTTTTTCTTCTCTCTTTCTCTTCTTAATTTCCTGGTAATCATACTCCAACTCTCTTTACTACCTGTTCTTTTACTTGAGTATTTAGCATGGATAGCGTATGAGAAGTGCACAGTTTAACCAATTTGCCACGTGTTTAAAATTGAATTGAAAATCAAATTGGCGGTATTC